AATCTTCAACTACATTGACACTCCCCGGCAAAAAAGGGATCCAACCCCTTTTTTCCACCACGACCAATACACGTTGACTTGGATGCCATTGCGAGAACCTGGGTCACATGGACAGAGCTGAAATGGAAAACAAACAGAAAAGCCAACACACCACAAGCATACTCATAGCACAATCTCACACATCAATGACGACCTCCGCATTCCAGTTAAAAGCATCCTCTTGCAACACAATCACCACTTGCTAGAATGACTCTTGCAGAATGAAACGTGACCATAGCACCACTTCATGATACTCTTCACACATCCTCTTATCTATTCACTACCAATTACCGCCGCGATCGCTTGTCACTCATTCTGTCTCAGTTCTAGTAGCGGGGACGTACGCAAGCCTCAGTCGTCTACACTCTCTCTCCCCGGCGTGTGGGACCACAGCTAATCATTATCTCCGTGTGCATGTCGTTCTCAGCAATAGCTTCGCCGGCGTATACGGCCCATCTACTGTCTTTAACACCAATCAATTTATTCACGGGTGTAGAAGACTCGGAACAACTTCAGAAGTAATCACGACGAAAATTTTAACAAAATTACGCAATAACAACAAGATACGAAAACAACAAGTAAACACAATGAATCCAACAAACACCAATTGCTATGACACACCACACGTATATACAAATAGTACAAATAACCTCGCCGATCATGTCTTGGTGGAATTCCTTTGAAGAATCGCAAGACTTACACCAGTACGCCTGCAACCCTTCTCAGGTTGACGATTGTAAGTTGTGGAATGTCCGGACACAAACAAGATTAACCAACAATTGCGATAATTGGAACTAACACAACTATTTAACACAAACATATGTACAATCACTACATCAAATGTTGTGGATTCTGCCTTGACGAACTACCCTTGAAGAACTGTAGGACTTACAGCAGTACGCCTACAACCCTTCTCAGGTTGATGCTCTAGATTGGAAAATCGTTGCAGAATTCCATTGCTGACTTCCTTCAATTGGCTATATCCTCAAATCTGAACGGTAACACGCTCATGTCATTGTATCGTAGAATATAGATGACGAACAAACACACGACGTATCTGGTCAACCAAGCGTAGAAACAGAGTAATTTACACCAAAGATAATAACATTCAAATAGTTACTTGAAACTAGAAATGCCTTTATTCGTGCAAGTCAATTTAACAATAACTCTCTCCTTTACACTTGGCTTATCCTCACTAAACTGACCATTGATATTCGTCCTTTCAAACGAACTGATATTATCATAGTCATTGGACAAGATAGTTGAGTTGATGGGCGTCTTTTTCATTGTGGATGACAGCACCAACGACGACTGATTGATATCAGTTGATGAAGTTAGCGGTGGATCAAAAGCTGTTGTTGATCGACTTTCAGAAATTTGTCTACCTCCAAGACCACCACCACTGCTGTCTTTTACTATCAGCTCAGGTTTAGCACTAGCATCTGATGATAGGTGGGCTACATGCTGATCACTCACACTGACGGTCTCACAAGTATGCATGCCTTGTGCAACTGCTTCTGCATTTATTTCTACTTCACGTTCAAGTTGTACAGAAACTTTGTTCAACTTAGCAGTAATAGGCATATCCCTCATCTCATCATGATCAACCAAAGACAAATCTGCACTATCATGATCATTATCACGAATATTCACTTTACCGTCAACTTCATCATTTTCAAACTCTTTAATAACAGAAGTAGACAATTTTGGTTCCTCCTCGCAAATCCTAAAATCTTTATAACTTCACTCTGACTAGTAATACCTTGTAAACTTTTGGAGTCAGAACTGCACCCTGAAGCAGTAACTCTATTCCGTGACACTCTATTCAACAATGGATTACCAGTTGTAACTACAGACTTCCTGACCGCACCGTTATCGTCACACAATTCGGAGTCAGAGCTGGAGTTTACATTTAGCTTATCACTGAACTTGCTCACTGGTTCACAGTTCACTTCTGAATGCACCTCTTGCACACGTGTCAAGCACAACCGTGTTTGTCTTGCATCTTGTAACTTATCTGTTGAGGATGTACTACGAAACCTGTTACACTCACTAGGTCTATATGCATTACTAGACATCATGGAGCCTTCTCGATATCCACCTCTCTGAGGCCTACTCGTCATCAATGATTGCGTTTTACCCTCAGACTGCTCTATTCTAGGGGTGAGATGTAATAGACTGGCGAACTTGCTCATAGATTGATTGACACTATCTTTTACTAGTTTCAGGATATCATCAAACCTTGGCTCGATACCCACATCCTCCATACGGGAGCTTATCTTGACCCACTTCCCTTGCAGTCGAGTGGGTAGGCGTCTTGCTATTACTTCTAGTATAAAACTCGAGTTGAGGTCACTCATGCAATTCATCGAAATCAAGGTATTCTTATAAGTCATAAGATTATCTAAAAACTCAGTAAGTGCCTGGGAGTCATCTTGAAGTTGACTGCCGTTACCTTTGACAGCTTCGTATACGTTCCTTACAATCATTGAAGGTCTTCCAAACCTTTGACGTAATATGCTCATAGCCTCAGCGTATCCCTCATTAGGGGGCATGAGCTTACAGCACTGTATAGCTCTTGCAGCATCTCCAGTGCAATACCTCATCAAATACATCAATTTCATTTCATCAGTTAATAAAATCCACTCAGCATGATCTCAAACTCCTTTACAAATTGTAAATAATCAGCCGGGTTTCCATCAAAACACGGTGGTTCAAATTTAGGGAGTTTGATGTTCCTATTATCCCTGAACGGCGAAACAATAACATCAACCATGTCATGCTTAACATCAGACACATCGTTACAATTAACAGACAAGTCACCATGACTTACTTTCCCGTTTGCATCCAAGACACTCTGTCCCTTCTTTGACCCAGGCATTGTTGAACTTGACCCAATTCCAAAAAAGTTCCAGATATTGCTTGTTCAAAGAGGACTTGACCGGCACGAGGAAAGATGAACGGTAACAACAGACAACAATCAGCATAAATGGGAAGAATCTCAAAGAAGCAACCTCCTTTACACCTACCTGGGAAGCATTGCTTCAACTACAGGTGGACGGAATTGATGAGGATATCAAAGGAAGGACCGGGAGAGCAAGACAAGCTTTCATTATTCTTAAGTGTGTGTGGAGGTCAACAGCACTCGGTATCAAAAATAAGATTCGGATTTTCAACTCCAATGTGAAGTCAGTCAGTGCTACTATACGGATCAGAGGCTTGCACTGCGCGTCATAACGAGCATCTCAAACAAACTTCAGACCTCCATTAACAGTTGTTGTCAGCCACGCCTCGTAAACCGTTCATGCCCAGCTCTTGCTACGCTCGGGCTCACTCTGTCCCTTGAAGTTTTTCAGAAGCGCTTAGTAATAACGGACGCAAAAACCAAAACACCGATTGGCCGCTTGAGAATTCTTTTACTGTAACACCAACATGTAAAAAATATTTCTACTAAGGTCTGTGAACAAATATTACAATAATAAATCACAATATTACTTCTGACGGTTTATTGCTGACTTCTTTCTGAACAGCGACCGATGAGACGATGCCTGTCGTATTGATGCCTCCGCGAAAATTGAGGAAGTTCATTTTGAGCAAACAACCATGAATTGATCGTTCAATCTTCAACTACATTGACACTCCCCGGCAAAAAAGGGATCCAACCCCTTTTTACCACCACGACCAATACACGTTGACTTGGATGCCATTGCGAGAACCTGGGTCACATGGACAGAGCTGAAATGGAAAACAAACAGAAAAGCCAACACACCACAAGCATACTCATAGCACAATCTCACACATCAATGACGACCTCCGCATTCCAGTTAAAAGCATCCTCTTGCAACACAATCACCACTTGCTAGAATGACTCTTGCAGAATGAAACGTGACCATAGCACCACTTCATGATACTCTTCACACATCCTCTTATCTATTCACTACCAATTACCGCCGCGATCGCTTGTCACTCATTCTGTCTCAGTTCTAGTAGCGGGGACGTACGCAAGCCTCAGTCGTCTACACTCTCTCTCCCCGGCGTGTGGGACCACAGCTAATCATTATCTCCGTGTGCATGTCGTTCTCAGCAATAGCTTCGCCGGCGTATACGACCCATCTACTGTTGTCAATGGAGTTGAAGATTGAACGATCAATTCTTGGTTGTTTGCTCAAAATCAACTTCTCCAATTCTCGCGGAGGCATCAATACGACAGTCATCGTCTCATCGGTCGCTGTTCAGAAAGAAGGGTGAAACATCGTCAGAAGTAATACAATGATTTATTATTGTAATATTTGTTCACAGACCTTAGTTCACTTATTCTTTTCATATGTTGGTGTAACAATAAATAAATATCAAGCGGAAGATCGGTGTTTTGGTTTTTGCGTCCGTTATTACTAAGCGTTTCTGAAATCTTCAAGGAACAGCGTGGGCCCGAGCGTAGCGAGAGCTGGGCATTAACGGTTTATGAGACGTGATTGACAGTTTCTGACGATAGAAACAGATCTGGCGGATTCAAACAGTTGGTGAATGTTTGGATAGTCGCCGTTCATCTTTCCTCGTGCCGGTCAAGTCCTCTTTGAACAAGCAATATCTGGAACTTTTTTGGAATTGGGTCAAGTTCAAGTAGAAGATGCCCTGAGTCAGCTAGAATCAGTACGACATATGCATATATATGGCATAGTACTTCTAGGCAACTCATACGCATTATGTGGTGAAGAAGTGCATTCGGAACCATGAATCTCAGGAGTTGAAGTACAAATTAGTAGTCTATCGTTGTACATATGGCATGAAGCGAAAAACTAGAGGTTCAGGTTTACGCGTCAAACCGTAAGAATTCTATTATTTATTTCTGCAGTGCAAAATACACCGGCTGCCAATCTGGGTTTCGTATACGCTACAAGGAAGATGAGTTCATCATTTGTGCCGCGAAAACAGTTCACAATCACAAATGTGAACAACGTCTTATGATAGGTGATCCTTATTTTAGGCGCCTGTCCGGGGATGAAAAGGAGAATATTGCACCTGTTGTAAAGGCTACATCTGAGGTTGGTGATGTTTTGGAATATGCTGAAGAGAAATTTAATAAAATTTTGACGAGCACGGATGTGTATAATTTACGTAAGGATGTGAGACCAGGTAAGTGATGCAGTTTAAAGTTACTTTGCAAGCCATGCCTTTGAGACCAGACGTTATACGCATAATAAGGCAAAGCGGTCAGGTGGCTGAGTACGTAGATTCGAATACAGGGATAACTAACAGAATTTGCTTCGCCCTGGATTCACAGGTGCAGTTATATCGGAAATATGGGGAGGTGGTGTGTATTGACTCAACATACAATACCAATAAGGATGGGTAGGTTATACGCGAAACGGTTGACAAATCTTAATCAGATATTCTCTGTTTCAGTTGGTGGTAACAGACAATATGGGTCATGGGAGGCCTGTTTTTTTGGCATGGACAAGACGAGAAAGGGCATGTGATGTCGCTTGGATCTTGGAAGAATTCAAAAGAATGATGCAGAATACGTCCATTACAGAAACTTTCATAATGGATTCGGCCAGCTGTGAGATATCCGCCGTGCGTAATAGTCAAATTCAAGCGAAAATCGTCATCTGTGCATTTCATGTATGCCGGGCTTTCAGCAGGAAGGTGAAGTGAAGTTAATTAATACTTGATATATTTAGACTCGAAATCCTTTTGTACGCAGGTTTCTATATCGCCTTGTTAAAGCTGCGACACCTGAAAGGTAAATGCATTGATTACTAACCATTTAGATTTTATCACTATCTTAGCGTCATTCGGACGGTTGATCGCAGGGTATGGAATTACGTCAGGCGTTACTGGGTGCCTAAGAAAGAAACGTGGGCTACTGCATATATGCCGAATACTCTATTGCTGTTTAATAGTACCAACAATAGAGTTGAAAGCTCTCACAGTCACCTGAAACGATATCTCCACAGAAGAGATCCCCTACACGTATGTATGTACAAGACGTATAAGTGGTGTGTACGCGTAGAAAAGCGTCGGAGTGTTGAAGCCATCGTCGAAAGTTGTCGGACTCATAAGTACCACGCACCAGAACCAGTTATGCCGATATTACGAAACTTCACTCCTTATGCTGCTAAGTTAATTGCCAAGGACTATAGCCGCAATCGTCGAATGAGCATAGAGTTGTATACTGATGATATGGCTATCATAAATGACGACATCTACCTGCACCAAGTGGAATATACCAACTCAAGTTGTACCTGCAGAACTTTTAGGGCACAACGAATACCTTGCCGGCATATGCTGCTGGTTCACACTCTAATTCCTCAGTTTACAGGTAAATCAAACTCTTACTAATATGTAAACTAATACTTTTAGTTGAAAAAGTACTTCGACTGTGTCGCAGATGGTTTTGGCGGGATCCGTTACTACCAATTAGTGTGCCGTGTGAAAGTTCAGTAAAGAAACCCTGCAGGGAGATACTGCAACTTCGCCGGCAGTTTAACAGAAGCTTCGCAGTTATGCAGGATAATTATAGTAATGAATACACTATCAGTGCATTGCGTGCAACCCTGAATTACTTTCAGAATTTTCTTGTCTGAAAATGGAAGATGTACATATATTTTGTGTCAATAGCTGCAAATATATCCTAACTTCTAAACTGTATACGCTTTTTGTTTTACCGTTTCATGCGACAAAAGTTTAAGTCCTTTGCGAATATAGTAGATAGTATTTTGCAGAGCGCAAGTAGATGTGAGTACTAGGCGGAATTTTCAGTGCTTAGTATGATAAGTAATACAGTAAGGCAAACGTTTTTTCTTATAATTACGCAATGAGAAGGTAATGAGTTTTGGTAATTAGCATTGTATTTACTATGTAGGTAATGTTATTACAAGCATAACTCTTTAACGTGTCAAGTCTCGTGTATCGTTGAATCAGCAACATAAACACCATTTGTAACGTTATCCAGTCAGTAAAATTTCGACATTTCGTGCTGCAAACTTTGCGAAAGTTAGATGAAATTAAAGGCTGCTTCCATACGATGCGTACAACGGCATCTTAGGCAATGTCTACGAAGACAAAAATAAGATAATTAGAAGACACGTTAAAATGCATAGGTAAATAAGTCATGTACTGCATTGGGATAGAGGAGATTACTAGGATTATAACAAAGTCTTCCACTCATTTCATTTCTTTGGATTCCTACCATTTCTGGCGTCAGCGTTACTTACTTATAGTTCACTGTTACTTCTTCGTTGCACCCTATATATACAATGCAAGAAATTAAGAAAATGAGTGCAATACTTAGGATACGGCAATAATGTAGGCATAAGCAGATTAACACAGCAGCGAGATGCAAAGGTAATAATAATTTGTTTTGTTCCAAAACAGTACTAATGTTACATAGTTGAATTTGCAGCATCTCGTACATTATTGCATCTAATTTTATGAAGTAATATTCGAAGCACTTGTAAAGATTACATTACAGGATTGTTAAGGACACTTCATATTTGGTATTAGTCCACTTATTTAATTTACTACATTCCATGCACGACACAAAGGTAGGGACATAAAACTAAATGGAAGTTTACCGAGCGAAAATGTGAGAGAGAATAAATAGTGACAAGGAAAAACATGAGTTGAATAGATACGTGAGATTACACAGAGTGAATCCATCTGTGCCATTAACAAAGATTTGCAGTCATATATGTAGTGGTTTTTCTAGCTGACTGTCAACAATTTCATGAACCAATACCAGTTTTTCATCTGACCGACCGAAACACATTTTGAATCTTAAAATGTGCTGGCTAACATTTTCCCTCGAGGAGGGCGATGGCTTGTTAATCCAAGGAAGTGTATTACGCCCGCTGCTATTCATAATATATATAAACAGTATCTGTGAATGATTTAGTGTTGGTAAACCAACACTGTATGCAGATGACTTAAAAGTGACCTATAAATGCAAGAACACAGATCTTGGAATAACAGTAAACGCCATACAGCAGGAATTAGAAAAAAATGGATAGATGGTGTGACACCTGGCAACTCCAGTTTAATGTCGAAAAATGTGGCTGGCTCTGCATAGGTTGCAACAATTTGGAACTTGACCTGACAATTCAAGGCCACGCACTCTTACGACTGGAATCTGTATTGGACCTAGGACTGAAATACTCACATGACTTATCATTTTCTGAACATATCTCCAAACAAGTGTCAAAGACACGTAGACTTATCGGCTTTCTACTCAGGAACTTCTACAGAAATGAGTCCAGAATTCTGTTGTACAAGGTTTGTGTGCGTCCTTTATTTGATCACTGTTCATTCATGTACATTAGTGTACACATGGAGGACAAATTGAAAGTCGAGGGAGTGCGGAGGTACTTCACCTCAAAATTACTCGGAACCGAAAATGGTGCTAACTGCTCCACTAGATGTGATACCCTAGGACTAGAAACACTATGGCTAGGACGCCTGAGACTGAACTTAACACTTTACTATAAGCTTCTTATCCACTTAGTTTTTACCTCTACTAATGGCACTCGACTTTCAGATGACAGTGGTTACAAACTAAGACACACTGAGGGTACAGTAGCTATCGAACAATGTAAAACAGCCACCAGGCAAAAGTTTTACTTGATTAGGTATGCACAGATATGGAATAAACTACCAATGGAAATGCGTCAAGCAGGTACATTGGCCTCATTCAAAAGAGTGCTTAACGACAAACTACAAGAGTTTGCAAACGATAGTAGTCCTAGTTCCTATCTGAGAGCCTCCGAAATTATAGGTCCATTTAATGTATAAGCCCAAATACTACACCTGTTGTTTTCTGCCTCTATTTATAATTTCAGATAAAACATTAACGATTAAGATACTTACCCTCAAACAGACAAAAATTTCGTTTGTAAAACTTCTACCCAACACAATAAGTGGAATAAAATGGACATAAACCGACAACATGAAAAAGATATAACTCACTACAACATCATATGGACAGATTTACGCTCGTTGGGCATCATATATACCTCACCAACGACAACCTACCTTTCCTAAGATATTGTGATGGACTTATATCCATAATGTTGCTGAGCAGTTAATATTCTCAACTCATGTCGGAACAGCAGAATTTCACAGACCTTCCTCACGCCAAGAAAATACTCACAATCAGTAGAAATCCACTAATTAATGCGTCTACAGCTTACGTATTTTACTCCCAACAATGACATTGCAGATCAAATGAGATAAACATATTTCTCATTTCAAAATAACACATCAATGAACTATAATTCAAGGATTCTACACACAACAAAGAAATGTATGAAAATTAACTTCAAGCTTTATTTTTTTCCAGGCACTTATAACCAACCCACCAAACACCCGGATTTTTTCGCTAATGCGAAGACAATACTTCTGCATTTGTAACTGTGCACAGAAATGATTGTACATTAGTGAAAGGAGTGTTGCCCAGCTAGCATTTTCTTCGGGCGCATTGCAGACTTTTCGGGGCAAAAAACTTCGGGTAAATCTACTTACGTGGGACACTGTCCCGAAGTCTGCCCCAAAAAGTCTGCAATGCGCCCTAACTTAATATGACTAACTGCGACCTGGGATAACGTGTCTACGGTTCCTCATTTAACTATTAGTCGACAATTAAATCAGAGTTAAATCTATTACGCACACAGGTCGTCTCAAAAAACAATAAACTGGCAGTAGCTCAACGACTCACATTAACAAATAGCAGTTGATTTTAATTGAAAATATATTTAATAATCTTGGCAAAAGAAATTACAATCTTCAGATAACTTTCTGAAGTAGAACATCCTATAAATCACCAGGAAAATTCACCCGTGTGCTTTCGGCGTCTGGTAGGTTTTCTTTGTTGACGTCGACGGTGATCTGAAAAATGAAATTTGGAAAAAATTAAGACCTACCAATGGGGGACGCCGTCGCCTTCTAATTCTCGACTTCAGTCTGTCCCGACTGTTATGGAACCAACGTTGAATTGAAGCCGTGCTAGCCTTCACTGTGGTACATCGGTCAGCATTACCTAGTTTATGTAAACTGCTAACAGTTCCTAGAGAGACAACAATGAAAAAACATTCACCTACATATCACAAGGTTACACGTCTTCGTGTCCTTGAACTTCTTTTTTTCCTTGGTGCCAGCCCATGAAAAATGTGAGCTGCAGTTCGGCTCCAACAAGACATTCATTATGCGACCAACGGAGGTTTGCACGTCCCCGTCAACCAAACTAGAAAGATCCGCCGACACATCCTGACGATATTCGTCTTGGGACAGTTTTGCCTCAAACGATGACATGACGGCGTCGCTGTCTAACTGCCATCTGCCAGAGCTCTTTAAAATTTGAACTGAATTGACGCACGAGATATTACTGTCAATGCTGTCGACAAGGTTGACTTGCGAGAG